CTGAAAAAGTCATTAAAATTCATAAAATCAAAAAAAAAAAAAAAAATCATGAAAATGATTAAAACCTGAACGAGTCGTGAAAATAATAAAATCTGAGAAAATCTTGAAAAATCTATCAAGTTCATGAAAATCAATTAAATGTGAAAAATTCATAAAGATTAATACAATCTGAGAAAGTCATGTAAATAATAATAAAATCTGAGAAAGAATGTCATGGACATAATGAAATATGTAAAAGTTGTGAAAATAATAAAATCTGAAAAAGTCATGACAATTAAATAAAAAAAAAAAATATATATATATTGAACATAATAAAATCTGGAGAAATAATGAATAATGAAAATCTATAAAATTCATGACAATTCATGAAATCTGAAAAAGACTCAAAAAACTCAACACATATTCATATTTACACGCAAGGCATCTGATCTAAACTAGAACATAACAAACACACAATTTTGCTTTTAGGAGGTTTTTAAAGATGGCTTAAAATAAGAAAAAAACAAGCTTTTTAAGATGAATTGTTCAAATCAACATAAAACTGCAATTTTTCTCCCTCAACAACTGCTGTTTTTATTTTAGAATAGAATTCTTAGAAAAGCTTGATAAATAAAAATGAGATTTCTAGATCTGGAAAAGGAATGATATTAATAAAATCTGGAAAAAAAGGCATGGAAATTAATAAAATCTGAAAAAGTCATGAAAAGTTAAAAAAAATCTAATGTCTAATAAGATCTAATAACCTAATAAAATCTTTAAAATAATAATTGAAATAGCTATAATAAATATATAGTTTACTATTTTTCTAGCCAAGCTCTGAAATTGAGTTGAAACTGCTGAGAAATTGCCATTTGTGCAATTTATAAAACAAATCATTTACAAAACTTTATTCTGTAATCACAAACACAAGTGGAAAAGTCATATAAATCTATCACTGAACCCTAAAGAACATTAAATTATTATATATGAATAATTTTATATAAATGAATATATTTAGTATGTTATTTTTGTTTATTATTATTTTAACATATTGACGGTAAATGTAAAGAGCAGCTCAGGTGTGTTTAAGAGCGGAAGCAGTGAGTGTGTTTGTCCACTAGAGGGAGAGAGAGACGGTCAGAGCGTTTCTCTGCAGACGCAGCGCTGATGCACGATGAACATGAGGAGAGCAGACGCTGTCTGTCTGTCTGTCTGCTCCTCTGTGCATTCCTGAGCGCAGTCAGAGGGTCTCTGGGAGACGACGGGCCTCTTTCCCAGCACTGCTGCTCGGTGTGAGGAGACAATCACTCCACAGACCAGCTCCGCTTCTGTCTGTCTGGCGGAGCTTGACCTTGCTCGTGTGTGTGTGTGTGTGTGTGTGTGTGTGTGTGTGCTCTAGAATACTGTAGAGCAGATCCTGATGATCCAGACCTGTCTGTTGCTTGATTGACGAGGTTCCTGTGCTGTTTTTCAGGTCAAGTACTTCAGTGGACGGAAGCTGAATGGCGAGTATGAGATCCGCGTGGAGCCAGGTGAGTGTGTGTGTGTGTGTGTGTTCTGCTGTGATTCTCCTGTGTTTGCGTGTGTGTTTCCAGCCCAGCGTCTAGACGGACACCGTTCCAGCGCCGATAGCATCTCTGACTCTACATCTGTGAACCATTGTGCGCATGTGTGTGTGTGTGAGTGTGTGTGTGTGTGTGTGTTTCCTGAGCTCTGCTATGTAGAGGAACAAACACACACATCATCATCATCCTGCTTCTTTAACAGGCTGATGATAGTTATGATCAGTGCTTCTCAACCAGCAGCTTATATATATATATATTCATTTTTTTTGTTCGTTTGTTTATTTAAGTGGACTTATTTAAGTCAAGATTTTACTTTATTTATTTATTTAAGGATACGGGTTATTTCAGTTAATTTATATTTATTATTTAGTTTATTAGTACTCTATAATTATTTAATTAGTCTCTTTAAAGTTTTTATTTTAGTTAATTAATTAATTTATATTTTATTATTTATTTAGTATTTATGATTTTTAATTGGACTTCTTAAAGTTTTTAGTTTATTTATTTGTTTATATATTTATTAATGCTTTATTTTAATCAATTTATATTTATTATTTAACTTTTTTTTACTTTATGATTATTTAATTAGACTTTTATTTATTTTTGTTTTAGTTAAGTAATCAATTCATTTATATTTATTATTTCTTTATTATAACATAATCTTTTAATTGGACGTCTTAAAGTTTTTATTTATTTATTTATTTAAATGAATTTATATGTATTATTTATTTTATTTTTACTTTATGATTATGTCATTGGACTTTTTATTTATTTGATATTCTGTTATATATTTTGCTTATTGACAAGGATTTTTCATGCCTCATATTTCATCTCATGTTTGTCTGTCATCTCTTTGGTGTTCAGGTGTGCTAATATTTGAAAGTGGCAGAAGTGGCTGTTGTGATGGAAATATTTTAGTACTTTATTTCAGTCATAACGTAAAGAGTGAAACCTTAATAATCAAAGAGATGATGGAGTGAATCGTGATCACACCACTCTCTCTCTCACACACACACACACACACACACACACAGTCAGCCTACTGCATACTGCACACTAGATGTTTGTAACAGTACATAAAGCAGAACACTGATAAAACACACAGATACACAGCTGGACTTGAGCCTCAGTAGACCTTCATCTGGATGCTGTGGGTCTGAGCTTCGTTATCTGAGGCTCTTAATAACACTCCACAGAGCCGCAGGACTCACAGCAGACACTTTGTGCTCTTTGTGCCGGTGGTGTGTGACGTCACGCTCCGGTAGCGTGTTTACAGTCTTGTGAGGTCCTGCTGTTTGTGCTGATGTTCTTATGGAAACATCTGCTCAGACCAGCGTCCTCCTGAGCTTCAGCTGCTGCTGGACGCTCCATGTGTTTGTGTCCTCGTGACCTCAGAGCAACTCAAACTAAAATTAAAACCAGAAAAACAAAAAATCATGGCCTGATAAAACATTATTTATTTATGCATTAATTCTTTAATAATTAATTCATTCATTCATACTTATATTGTGTGTGTGTGTGTGTGTGTGTGTG